TGGAATTTGCAATTTCAAATCTAATAACTTGGAGAGAGAGAGAGAGAGAGAGAGAGAGAGAGAGAGAGAGACATGGTGTTTAAAGTCTACTCGACACAAACTAGGTCATTTCGGGACTAACATATGTTTTTTAATTTTATTTCAATAATTCGCTTGCGCATAGGGGTCTTTGGCAGTGGAAGGAAACCAGAGAAAACCCACGAGGCTGGACGGGCGACCCTACTCCTTGTCACGTACAACCGGGGATTTGAAACTCTGCCAGTTGATTCAATGACAGACCGTATGATACAGCGCGCGCGTGCTAACCATTTGGCCATCCACCCCCCACCCCCCCACCCTAATAATTTGGAACGGGTGTTTATCCGGCCCAGGCATCAGCTAGTTAAACTAGCACTAATTACTGTAATTAGTTGTGTAAAATTACAATTTATTTAAATTCTAATTTGTTTAATTGATGGGGGCTGCCAATTTGCTATTTGATTCATTTGATTGGTAAGACATGAATTTCGCATTTGGAATTTGGAATTTGGAATGAGCCTTCTGGGCTTTCGTAAGAACCTCTCGTTAGGATTATGCAGGAGCAACTTTTAACGGAACATTATAACTTTTTAATAGCAGCTTTTATCGGAGCATTATGACTTTTTAATAGCAGCTTTTAACGGAACATTATGACTTATTAATATTTCATTACAAATTCCTCAAATTGTCCGGGACAAGCGTCACTCAATCAACGTGCCTATCAAATTTAGTATAAACCCATTAAAGGGTTTGGAGAAGTTGAAATCTGCTTTATCATGGTGTTGTTTCACCAAAATTATGGGATCGAGCAATTGCATTCGATAAGTAACATTCATGCCAATAATATTTATCAAAATTCTCCAATTACTTTCAAACAAACTCTTATCTTTATCATCTTAGGGTGAACCCTACCACATTTTAGAAACATCCATTCAGCCATTATGAAAAAGTAGTAGATTTAGTATAAAATATTTTCTATTCGACCCTTAAATGTATTGGGACTTGTGTTGGGACTTGAGACTACGAATGCTCCAATTCCTATGCGCTCACTATTATTAGCCAAACCCCCCCCCCCCCCCAAAACATTCAGTGATTTGGAAGCATACAATTTGTAGCGTGTACCACGCGTATGCCATTAGATCACGGTAGATTTATGCAAAGGGTCAAAAGAGCTACCTATCAACCTTACATTATGCTGCATTACAGGCTCCAGAATTCATCATCGCCTCTTTGGAATGGCAGGAATGTAGTGAATAAAAAGTGTTTATTTATATAATACACACCTGATACTTCTCAATCTGAGTGCGCAAGTCCGACAGATGACTCAAAATACTCAGACACATTGCACATGTTTTCTGAGATTTGAGAGTCATACTACGGAATACATAATTATAATTATATAGTATTATAATGTATAATGATAGCTGAAATTTATGCAGGATAAGATTCGTTGATGTCTGGAACATTTTATGTTTTTTATTTTTACACGTGTAGGTCTACAGTCGCGAAAATACTTCATTTTTGTATGCTATCTCATTTAAAATTAATTATATCAACTTGGAAATGGCATGTTCGTGTTTCTCGCCCCCACTACCCCAGAAACGACATATCACACGTGTTGTTATTGGTATTGAAAGAATACTTTTCGAGTCAATTTGAATTTGGCAGTCATATTGTATCAGGGGATCACGTGGCTAAGTGGGTAAGACGCTAGCTCGTTAGCCTGGAGGTCGGGTGTTCGATCCCTGCATTGGCCGAGAAAGTTCATCCAGATTTCCCGGCGTGGTTCTCCCTTGTCAGTGATGCAGGATGGAGGGGCTGACAAGGAAAGCTGTCTAGTCGTTCGGATGGGACGAAAAACCGAGGTCCCGTGTATACATTGGCGTGCACGTAAAATATCCCTTGGCAGTTGGAATTCGATATAAGAGTAGGCCGTAGTGCCGCTGTCCAGGCAAAATTTCCCTCATAGCACACTCCATTTCATTTCATTTCATATTGTATCACCTGTTTGTGAAATGAATTGGAAACTTCCAAAATGAGTTGGGTGACCAACAAAACCTATAAAATGATATATTACACGTGCCATTTCGCCAACGATCTTGGCAAGGTCAAGTTCAGACCATTTTTGGTGGCCATCTTGGATTTCAGGCTCTCCTGGGGTTAGTCTGTAGATTTCATAAGAAGGGTTCCCTCTATCAGAAACCGTCGTCAAATTTTGTTCCCCGAGCAATGGTCAAGGATCTGTCAGTTGTGACCCGACTATATACGCTGTTCTTTGCCAGATTCTCTGTTCTGCACCACTGACAAGAAGGGATCACGCCGGACAATCCGATGAACTTTCTTGGCCAACGCAGGCTTCGAAATTTACAGGAGCTAAACCTCTAACTCAATACTGCCCATGATTTAAACACGATTAAAAAATTCAATATTGGTATATTTCAATCAGTGTTGAAGTTAATAAATTAATATCCAATTTTTAAGACCAATAGAAATTTTAAAATCAGTATGCGAGTTGTGTACTCCCTGGTTTCGGGTGCCATTTGGCTGATTTAATTTTAATCAGATTGGTGTCAAAACTTTTCAGGATGTATAAACCAGGATGCTGTAACCAGTGTCGTAGTTTCCTCAATTTCGATAAGAGGCTATATTTAGATACACGCCGGAAAACCCATTATCAAATGAGATATATTTATTCTACACATATCCTTATCACAATTCAAATTTTAGAGATATCAACGTGGCTCAGATTAGGTTAGAGTGGCTGCTATCGACATGAGTAATCATAGTCATTTATAATTTCTTGAAAATTGCCTATCGTTCCAAATTCTTTCTTATTGGTTTAAATATTATCGAAATATTTACTATTATAATTGTTATCATTATTATCCTTATCATTATTGAAGTATGTTTTTCACTTTATCCCACCACCCCGCACCAAAAGAAAAAAAAGACAAAAAAATCCCCACAAAACAACTGTATATACTTTCATTTTTTGCCGAAATTATCAAAAAAAATTTGGTGTTAACACTGATTTTAAGGCAAGCTCGAGATTTATTCCGGAATGCCTAACCTATATTCCGTTATCATTCAAAGTATAGAAAGAAAGTACACTCTATAGAGAGGGCTGACAGTATGAATTCAATTTGGACAAGTTTCCTCAATCGATGGACATACCAATTTTGTCTTTCTGGCGATTCCCCAACATGAATAAACGTCCGTGAAAAGATAGTCGAATATTTGATTATTTGGTAATGTTCGTAATTATAATTACATGCAAACTTTAAGCGACACTGGTGTAAGCGAGGCCGACGTATGTGTGACATGGTTATATGGCTGCAGGTGATAATCCTCAATAATGAGAAGATTGTTGGACATGGAATCTTCTGATCTAGCCCGCAAACATTAAATCGACCCTCAATCAGTGGCACAGGTCGGAGGGCGCTAGGAACAGTGTCTAGTTGATTGGATGGTATGCAAAAGTCCCGTGTATACGTTGGTATGCACGCAAAAGAACCTTTGGCAGATGGAATTCAATTGTTGTCCGGACAAAATGTCCTTCATTGCAGACGTATGACCGTCTTCATTAGTAGACCGGTTTGCGCAGAAAAGTAGGACGTTAAACCCCATTGCATTTCATTTATCCATCGCTTTTCCTTCTATACACAGATTTATGAAACCTGTTAGTTACCGCGACAGCTTACTAGATACCCATTATATTGAGAACGTGGCCTTGGGTCATTTATCACTTGTTCTCACAATGTTTACCTAAATAATCAGAATACGATTGTTAAGACATAGTGTCTTTATTGTCTCAAGAGGTAATAATGATCATATAAAATATAGTAAATAAATAATTATGAAAATAGTAAACATGCAAATACACAAAATACATAACAACATGTGCAAATGATAAAAAATAATTTTGAATATATTAATATGAATATTTATCGCTGATGCGCGATAATTAAAAAGCTTGAGATGCGTTCTCATTATATAAAATGGAGGTTATGATGTAACCATATTTCGAGAGATCTGAAAGTTATTTGTTCCTCACATTCGATATGAACATGAAAGATTATTTTATCGAACGTGAACGATCTTTAATACTTGGTACAACGGTATAATTATTGATGATAATTAACATAGGTCTATTGTATCAATTATACCTTATAGTGCTATTTACGAATATCTAGTTTATAAATTATTTTTAAAACAAAATATATTTGAAATGTCTAAAACATTGAATGAGCGCAATAGTTAGCTGAATAAAACTATGAATATAAAATACAGCGTACTATATAGCTGAGCAAAATGATTAAACATATTAGAATCTCTTATCTAAATAATAAAAATACGGTTGTTAAAGGACCATATTAGTGTCAGTCATAATCATATATGAGATAGAACTGGTTAAACACGTTCAAAAAATATAATTTTAATACACAGATCATTGCTACGATAGATGCGTTTTCAAAAAAACCGAAGTGACGAACGCAAAAGGAAAACACGCGACACAAACTGGTCATTTCGGGACTAACACATGGTTTAATTTAATTTCAATAATTCACTTGCGCGTAGGGGTCTTTAGCAGTGGGATGAAACCGGAGGACCAAGGAGAAAACACATGAGGTTGGGCAGGCGACCTTACTCCTTGTCACGTACAACCGGGGATTTGAAACCATGCCAGTTGACTCAATGACAGGCCTTATGGTACAGCGCACGTGCTAACCATTCGGCCATCCAACCCCCCTGAGTGATAACAGATACACGGCCGAATTTCTGCTCACTAATAATTCCTTCGAAGACCAAAAGTTGTCATGTCAGGCTGTGAGAGGATATATGATAATTTAAAAAAAGAATCGAATGTCACTAAAGGAAAAACGAGAAAAATAGAAATAGTCCGTACATTCCCTTGTTTTTATTACTTCTATATTTAATAAAAACATAGTAATGAACGGAATTTTTCTATTTTTCTCGTTTTCTCTTATCTAGTGACAGTCAATTATTTTTTTTTAAATTGTCAGATATCCCCCCACAGTCTCATACAAAAACGTTTGGACTTTGAAGGAATTTTTAGTGAGCAGAAATTCGCCCGTGTATCAGTTATCACTCGTCACTTCAGTCATTTATATAGACGGATATCTCGTGTTTTCCTTTTGAGTTCGTCACTTCCGTTTTTTGAAATCATCATTTAACGCCTCTATCACATATGTGATAATGACTGACACCAATATTGTCCTTTAACACAGTCATGCTGTCTTTAATGTCTCAAGAGGTAAAAATGATAATACAATATAGAGAAAATATGCAATGAAAACGGTAAACATTAAAATAACGCGCAAATAATAAACATGCCAATAATAAATATGCAAATAATAGTTATGCAAATATGTAATAATTGAAATACGCAATAAATATATATCAAGGGTCAATAATAAAAGAAATTATGAATATATTAATATTATGAATATAATAATTCTGGATCGCTGATGCGCGATAATTAATACGCTTGATAAGATGGCAGATCTAAGCTCCGATTTACATGTACGCGTTTCAGTGGCGTTCCCGTGCAAGTTTTCACCGGTTACATGGATACGGCTCCATTACATTTGAATTAGACCAACCTTTTCGCTGGAATGCTGCGAAAACACATACATGGAAAACGGGCATTAGTTAAAACTGCGATTGTGACTGTTAATGATTGTATTTTCAGAAACACCAAGATCATGATAATAAATGCACTAGAAGATAGACCCAGTGCAGCCAAAGTTCCATAATTCGTTTCTAATGGAGAGGATTAGGTTATAACCCAGACAAAGACATACTGACATTTGATAACAAGCATGACCCCGTGTGAAATACGGGCGTTTTCCATTCAAATCAGTATTTTAATTTCCTGTTATGTTCTGGTTAAGAACGTATTAAAAGCGCCTTTAAAACGTCGCAATACTGTATTACAACAGGGAACATCAATAGGCCTAATGTAAACAATAATATCAAAGAAGGCGCTAGTGACGTCATCAATTCTACTCGACCTTTCAATATGGCGTCTAGAAGCTTTTATATGATGTGACTAAAATTGTTGTCAGTAGTATTAAAGTTATTATCTGAATTACAATATATTTACATAAGTAGTATAATTTTCTAGGTAAAGTTGGATCGCATCAAAACAAAATTTGAGTTGTTCCTGAAATAAAAAAAAAGTTAATGTAAATTCTAATATTCTATAATATCAGGTTCACAATAGCATTGCTAGCGGGTAATGGTTTGTTTAATCAACAGACTAAAATAAATTAAATCACCTATCCATCTAATCAAAAAATGATAATATGTTTCTTAAATTTTCTGAAATCTGTTTTGCATGCTGCAAAAATGCATAATATAAAACTTACATAAGATGTTATAATCTGTGGTCTGGAAGCTCTAAGTTGTACTATTGTCTGTAATACACTGACATCTTGTTCTATTGTTAATCTCTCTAATATAGCAGTCAATACACAAAATATACCTCCTTTAGTAACACCATCCCTAATATACAACAAATACACATTTAAAATCAGTTTAAGAATAAACAGTCAAATCTCTTGTGAAACCTTTTGTATAAAACCTACAATTTAACAAATTTTCAAATCATTAAACTCCAATATTAATGTATGAAACCTTTTGTGTATGAAACATTCCGTTTAAATATATTTTCAAACATTCTTTCTCATAATATACTAATATCGGTAATAATTTTTAATGTGTTTCCTTACTTACCGACAAACAACAACCAATGGATTACTATTTTCGTAACTTGACTTAACATGTTCAAGTACATTAATCAATGAAATGAAGGATTCTGGTGTCTGTTGTTGATCGTTCCAGAATTTACATTCGTATACTTTAACTGTTTGATTTACATTTACCTGTAAAAAAATGTGCCAATGGTTGATTACTAGTCACACGGCAATACAATATGCAAAGAACGAACGTGTAGAGCAAGAAGCGACCAAAAATATAATACTCCTGGTTTGGAAAATAGTAACAAAATATATTGGTAAACAGATGAACAAAACACAAACAGAACACGAATACAACATACATAGATACAAACTAGGTGAGAAGGAACTAGAAAACTACAACCAATACTAGATATTCCAGGAATATAAATCATTCCTGCAAATTGCATGGCAACGTACAAATTCTAGATTATATTCAAATCTTTAGAGGCAATGAGAATGCTTGGTAAGTGTACAGACTACTGGAAACCATGAAAATGTTTCTCGTTAAACATTATCACATTTATTGTACATTGATCAAGATGTATTAGTTCACCACGGAAATACCTTCACCACATTGCAGTTATTGCAAGACATAGCACGCACTTAGGATTTTAAAGATGGCCTTAAAATCGTGAGCTATTGAAATGACAAAATATCATTAAGGTGAAAGTTGGTCAAATGATGACAAAGATCTAAAACTAACGGATATGTAAAGGATGTTGATGGTTCTCATAACCAAATAAGGATGTTTATTACGTTGACAGAAGTCATCCAAATGATCTAAACACTTCACCAACGTCTCCCCAGATCAAACAGGGAATTTAGATAGGTTATCTAACTTTTTGATAAATAGGCTCTAGACTCTTAAATTTCGAAAATCATATTGAACTTACGTCTATATCACTTCCGATTTTATAGCCCACTATTGAATAATCATCTTTATTCTGCGTGTCACTAGATTTGGTAATAGAAAAATCACCGCACATCAGCTTGGTTTCCGGAAGATACTGACCTATATCCTAAATATATATAGAAATAAATATACACGTATTGAACTACTAATAATAAAATGATCATTGGTGGAGATTTTTGCGCTATTGGATTTCAACCAGAAGCTCTTTACTCATTTGGTGAACGTGTCTTCAGGCCTAAACAAGTTTTACAGCTATCATTCATTGCATTAAAATTGATTAACGGTTTAAATCAACCTTCTTTCGTGTTTATAATTTTGGTAGTAATGCAATATTCACCCTCGATATTTCTTGACCATGATCTAGATCTACGATTATGTAAGATTCAGTTTGTATAACCATTCTCCAGAAATCTATAACAGTATCTGGTAATGGTGTCTGTGTTAATATATACGCTTGTTTCTTTCTGTAACTCTGTAAAACAAAAAAAATAATAAGACTTCCGCCTGATGTTATTTTAGAATCTAGATTGTTAATTTACATAAGATACCATTTACTTACATTTATATAAATTGTTAATTTATAAATGTATCATCTACTTACATGTATATAAACTTTTAATGTATAAAGGTATTATTTGCTTACAGGTATAGGTATCAATTATTTACATCAATTATATATATTGATGTATACAGGTATATAATATGTTAATGTATAGAGGTATAATTTACTTACAGGTATATACACAGCGTTGATATAATCAGTTCCGCTATCAATAGATGATATAAATGGTCGTACGCTTTAACCTACATTTAAGAAGAAACAAACCTCTGCATTTAAGCTATTCGCTTAGTTTGAGAAATACAACAACCGTTTCCACGCCGTAAGGGCTTCTAAGGATAGTATTCAAATTAGCCAGCCATATCTACCAACCAGAAATGAAATGGGGTTAAATGTCGCAATGATCTGCACCAACCAGGTTGTGAAAACATGAGCTAAGAGGGAATTTTACCAGGAGCGCATGCAAATGCGGTGTCCCATCCCATCTTAACAACTAGACTATGTTACATGCTAGGCCTTCTGTCATGTATCACAGCCAACAGCAGTGAGAATATATTGAAAATATTTATATGCACTATGTAAATTGATGATTGGTGCTCTCAAATTTCTTATTACGTGTACTGTACTTACTGGCTAATATTGCCCTGTTTCTGTTTTTATTTTTATTTTCATCTAACAAAGCTGAATAACAATCATCCTTCGTGTGCACTGGACTGACCTTCTTCATCATCTGTAATACCCGACAAAATCAGTACATATATAAATATCATTAGTTCGAATACAAAAGGGACTACTAAATGATACTGCATTAATATATGTGAATTTCTACCACATGTATCAAATAAGTATCAGCGTCCAGATCATATACGGTATTATTTGGGTCGAGTCGTTTAGGAAGCACAATTTTATTTATGCACCTAGTATAGGTAATTTTACAGTCTATATTAACCTAGTTCCATTCTCAAATAGCGCGAATCAGAATATTCCCACTTACTTCAAATTTTTGTTCCAGGAGACATTTTCCAGATGTTTGCATTTTAAGCAGATCTTTGTAGATTGTCTTGTAATCAGCTATAGATGTTGTTATGTTTCCAGCTATATACCATTCTAAGATTCCCTCGTGTAAAAATATATACTGATCCTACAATAATTTAACATTGATTTAAAATTAAAGTAACATAATGGACTCCATTTCCACTTCATGACTTAAAATGGGGTTGGACTGTCGGACTAATACCCTTTTAACATGAGAACGGAAACAGGATTTTAAGAAAGGCAATAAGTAAATCACCTACCAATGTCTGAATCATATTGACTCTTTCTGTTCTCATCCGTGATACACACCGAACAACATCTACTGAATCTCCAGCTTTACCTTCTTCAATAAGATAATCTAAAGCTAAAAATGTTCCTGTTCTTCCTATACCAGCACTGAAATATAATATGACACGATAAATGGTAAGACAATAAGCGATCATACGATATTCGGAAACTGGCCTTCCTATAGCAGCACTGCTATGTAACATATAAACACATCATATATGCCTAATGCTAGAACAATACTTGTTCTTCCTATCCCGGTACTGCAAAAATCTTCCCAGTTCTGTAATACAGTAAGATATTATGGTATTTCTCTGTTAATTTTGCACACAATATCTCATTCGGATAATTTCCGAATAGCGACCATACAGGATTGATATCTGTTGTGTCCAAAAGAAGATTGGTTTCAATGTCATATTAATTATGTTTTGTTTTCCCACATGCAAGCTAAGAATACCACATGAATTATTCAAGTGGTTGTTGTTTATTACAATTAAAACGTCCAATGCATTATACATATTCTTATGGACAGGAAGATTTAATTAATATTGCTTACAAATGAAGCTATTGACCGAAGACTTTGTCTGAAGTAACATCTGATTTTAGCATAATCAAATTGCGTTAAAAATTTTATGAAGTAAAATTAGCATATATCATTTTGTCATTCTTATAGGATAGACCAAAAGTAATATAAAATAAATTCATCACTAACCTACAGTGTACGATCATTGGTCCAGGATGTGGAGTTGGTGATTTGTTCACCTTGTTTCTGAATTCTACCAATGATGCTGCATCAGCAGGAACACCTTTATCAGGCCAGGATGTATAATGGTATTGTATAATGGTCCTTGGTTCCCACCCCTCCTGTTAAAAATTGTAAATGTCTTGATAACAAAGGACAATATATTCTTTGTGGTATAAACTTAATAGTAACAATTTGCGTTGGTATTTGTCAACGTAGATTAAATTGCGACAAGTCATATAATATGTCTTGAAATTCGATTTAATTATTTGATATCACTGCATTTAATGTGGTTATAATAAATTAAAGAATACATTGTCATTATCTTAAGTATTCTTATTGTCTGACTTCCTATCGATACTAATATTGGACTGTCTGTCTGTCTGCCTGTCTGTTCAGGACTGGCGACTACACTTGGATTGTCCCAAGGGAGGTTGAATTTGGTGTATAGGGATAGCCCGGGCCGAAGTGGACTACCGCTTCTGGTTATACTACTTTCAACCCGTGCAGCGCCGGGTCATCCGCCAGTTGATAATATTATTACATTCCACCGAACAGATTTAAAGAAGGCAAGTCTCAAATTCAATACCATTGACAGTCTTCGGCATTGCAAATACGACTTATTGGTCAGTTTAAATCAACATTGATGTTGTTATCTTTCCGTGAAAAGGTGGGCTTCTGATATCCAATATTTAAGACAAAATGAACATTTTAAAATTGGCACCTAGATCGCGTACCAGAATGCTTTCGGGCGCAACTTGTAACGAAGCGACTCGATGAACGAGTACTGTTGAAAAGATCTGGAGAAAATATAGGTACACAACTAGCAGTCAATACATACCAATTTCTTCATTTAGAATGTCGCTCCTTGTACGAAGCTGACCTATTTCGAGTTCTACTGTGTAAAATTCATCCAATTTGATGTATCACCAAACTATTTGCAGTGTAGTAGCATGGGGGACATTAATTAAGGGTGTGGTAATTATGCAAAGGTGAATACTTCTAAATACAAACTTTTTAATATAGTATGGGGTTCATGTAAATGGATATAATCGGTGTTTAGAACTATTGAGTCAGCTTCAAATACATTGTAAGACATTTTGATATGGTTTTTTTTTCATTTTGCTGTGAGTGCTGATTTAACTGGTATCTTACTGACCGTTCGAACTAATTCCAATCTTTCTTTGCGTGCACTTTATTACTTAAAAACTGCACATGAAATATTGCAAGTATTACTTACTTTAGTTATTTCTAACGTTCTTATTGTGAAGTGTGCAAAGATATCTTCCGCTAAAACTTTCACAGAGATTTTCTTGAACGATTTAGTTTTTCCATTCATCGGCCAGTATTCCAAACACTTTACCTGCCAAATAATGAAAAATTGCCTTGTATCTAGGAGACGGGGATATTATCTGGCAAAATCTACCTGAGTATATATGGCCAGTTAACTTATTTTTTATATCATATTTGACATGCGATAATGGAAACTTGAGTAAAAATGAGATATTGGTACGTGAGTAGAAATGAGATATTGCGATGTTAGTGGAATGAGATAATGAGATGTGATTTAATTAATCAGGCATTTAGATGCGGCTAGAAATAAGATATTAGATCCGGCTAGAAATAAGATGCGAATAGAAATAGGTATTTAGATCCGGCTAGATATAGATATTTATACGCGAATAGATAAAAGATATTTAGATGCAAATAGATATAAGGTATTTAGATGCGAAAAGATATAAAGTATTTAGATGTGGATATAAATAAGATATTTAGATGTGGATATAAATGGTATTGAGCTGTAGGTAGAGATGAAATGTAAAGTTGAAATGTAAAGTTGAAATGTCCATTGCACAAATGCACTGTCATTTGAAATTTACCAATATTTACAGTTGAAACATTCCAAAGTTACAATCTAAAAGGCTACCAAAATAAAACAGTACATACAACACCGAGTTCTTGTGAATTGGTAACCATTACAATTTTTCCTGTTTTCACATCCCATATCAACCGCATAAATTCGTTAATATTAACATCGTTTGGACCTGTGATCAATTTTATTAAAGGTACAACAAATTGTTAATCTTTAGCAACGAAAACTCCTGTTTTTATTTTAACAAAACAAATGATTTAAAGCCACAGAATAGGCTTCCCACTCCCATAAACTGATTAAAACAAGCCAACAGTGAGGCTGATGTCCCCCGCCGAAATTCCCAAATAAATAGATGACACATATTAATCAATCGTACATTTATTTTTTTTTTTCAAAAGTATCAAGAAATCAAACTGATTATCAATTATACACTAAGTGTCATCACTCTCTATCAGATAGAATCAAAGTCATCTTGTCCCAAAGCATCGACCAATGAAATTTCTTAGCTCTGCTTAGCTTTAGCTCAAAATGTTAATCAATGAACCTAATGAACATCTACGTCAAGTTTAAACATTCTACCTCAATTAAAAGCAGAGTTGTTATGTTCCAAAGTCTTGACCAATCAAATTGCTTAACGAAAATTCTCATTATCGAACTTAGTCAAGGTAATGATATAATGAATCTATACTCGAAGTTTTATCACTCTCACCTAATTAAAACCAAAGTTATCATGCCCCAGAGCATCAACCAATCGATTGCTTATCTCTGCTTACCATGTTCATCATCGAACTCCATCAAGGCATTCACTTAGCTTTGTAAATATACCTTTGTAAATAAATATATTACTTAAATAACATAAAATTATTTTTACCTTGTGAAGCTATATATTTATTTTTGACATTACCATAACCCTGCAAGAAATAAACGGCATGTGAAATAATACACTTAAGTTAATTAATCAATTAATACATGAATGTACTTAATTTTTATGGACGATATAATGCTATCACGGTTTATGTACTTGACTCAATGCTGTTGTTGTTTACCCAATTCTAGTGTTATATCAAAGAGTTGAAACTATGGGTCAATTACTCGATTTGACTAGGGTAGATTTTGAGAAATTATACCTATTCACATTGTACAAAATTGTTGCAAACATCACGTTCAGGATTTAGACCATTGATATTTTGAAAACTGACCCGAAGACCGATGGGGTTATAAATCTGGCGTAAAACAAACAAAATAATTTACTTACAGTGATATAACAGGCATTGACATAATCTGAAGTGGGATCATTGTTTTCAATCTCCAATTTAACTCTGGTATGATCAACTGTGCGCAATAAAAAAAAATCACATAAGAACGTATTTATCAGATTTTTAGAATTTTAAAATATTAGTTCCAAGAATTGAAACAGTTTGTGTTTTATTGCAGTTTACATTTCAGTTTGCTGGTACGTTTAGAACCCAAGCTCCACAAGCTTCCAATGGTGTCACACCTAATAATGAGAATACGCTTAATTCATTTTGTTCAGCTAACAAAAAAAAAAAAAAAAAAAAAAAAATAACTTACATGCACATATATCCTTGTATCTATTCTTAGGTCGATTTATTTTATTCAGACAAACATCATGAGGCGAACATAGGCCTTTTGGTAGATTCTGAAAAAAACCTCACCAAATTCACAGTCAACTGAAAATGGTTTGAACTGAACATGGGGTCGGTGATAAACACAAATTTTACAATTTCTTGCCATTTTCATATAAGAGATGGAGTCTATGTTATGATAAGATAACAGATACAAAAAACCCCAACAAATTCAGCCACACATCATTATTTAGTATTCAAATGGTTTGCAAGACATTGCTTTATAGAAGTCTAAATGTTTTGTTAAAATATGAACATATATATTATGTACCTCATATTCTGGTTTGAAAGTTTTTGCCGTTTTCTTTCTTTGAATTATTTCCCACAAATCTTTCAATTCAATGCGGGTAGATGGTAGATTTTCATATACACCAGAATTAGGTAAGTTAGAATACATTACTACTTCATTACCGCCTTCACTAACTTCTTCTTTAAAGATAAATTATTGTTTGTTTTATAATTTCATACACACCAGAATTAGGTAATACATTAACAATTTATTAACAGTTTCAATATTGCGTCAATATCAATATTGCGTCAATATCACTTTAATATTGCGTCAATATTAATTCAATCTTAAGATAATGAAATATAATAATATATCGTCTCATAACTTTATCTTATAGTTTAACTCAGTAAACACTTACACCAATTACATGTTCTATTTAAAGAATTGGAATACATCTGATTTATTATTTTGTCTTTTGCTCGTAAACTTGCCCTTCTTTTTTTTTTTTGAAGAAGAAATGGAGCAGTCGTTATCGATGTTCAAAGTTATGTGCAATTTAAAACAGTGTCGAAATTGGTGGTTGAAACCCTTGGTCGGTATTAACCGGACCGGGTGCCTCAAAACAACTACACACACATATAAAGTAAAGAATACAAGCTAATGGCAGAGGGTGCGATTATTCTTTTTAGGAACCCATGTTATATTTGTTTATAATTCAACTTTTTCAAACACACTAAATAGGTTAAATGAAAACGTCTTCAAATGAATTAAAAATAAATATTCATTCAATAGCTTTACCAGTTTCATTTTCACTGTCTGTTACAGTGGGCTGTTGATTGTCCTTCATGTACCTTTCTCTGAAAAATATCGAAAATTAAAGTTATACAAAAGCTAAACGAGTCGTGATTTCTTCAACACTGGGGATACATTTTCAAGGTATGGTTATCAAAATTCCCCTTTACTTAAAAAATCTTAAAATTCCAGAGTTACCCAACAACGCAAGATTTTCAATATGATGTGCCAATCACAGTTTTAAGGTTCCTTTAAAATACAAATCAGTCGACCTTGTGATAAGATTTGAACTCATGTTTCTTTGATGAAAAAGATAAGTGATGTATCGTTAATATTTGTATAACACGAAACAGTAATACTATTAATTTCTCAAACAGCAAGTATGGTAATACGAAATATAATATTCAAGAGATCGTAACGTATTTAATGATACGGTATATTTGTGTATGGTATATTGTATTATTGTATTTGTATTGTATTGAACACAACAGGTGATGACAAAGGCACTTGTTTTGATAAAATACTTAACACTTTTACTTTTACTTCCATGTTTGTTGTTTCATCGATTTGGTATATTTTACATACACGTTTTAAAGGAGAATGTGAGTTACATTTGTTATCTTTTTACCAATCTGATTCGTTTCGTTTTTCATACTTTCGATGGCCGTAACGACAAGTTAAACAAAATGCTGAACTATAAAAAATGAAACGAAATAAGATCTGTGTTTTAATCAGACTGTCTGCTTACCTTATTTTCACACCAATGAAACTAACCACACCAACCACACCAACCACGGCAAGAATAGCAAGAATAGCTACAGCAGGATGTGCCCCATCGGGTTTGGGGGTAGCTTTAAAAGAACATAATTATTTTGTCAAGATATTTATCTTACATTTTTTTTAAATGTTGACTAGAAAAAGAAACCTAGTCAAAATATTTCAAGGGAAGTTAACATGGTAATGTAAAGATGTTCTTTCGATAAAGCAGAAGCAGCCGAGTCTATTCTTTGCTCAGTATCCAGACACATAGATGTCGATCACCAGTGTTACAATTTGGCGAATGTCCGAGTCAAATTAATGCTGATGACGTCACCGTTAAAATAAGCCTCAGCGGGGTCCATCAGTTAATCTGCAGCCCTGCATGCAGCCCTGCGAGAACCTTAATCTGGGGACACGGATATAACAATGGAAACAAAACGTTGATGCGTTGATAGTGGAGTGGCATGTTTATTAGCTTTGATTATACTAATTCTTGTTGAGACTAGCGTCTCTGGTATTCACGTATACTTATTAGCACCGATTTCATTTGATACATACTAGAAACAGTTCTTCAGCCTACTGAAATAAGTTTTAACATCCTACATTTTTGCATCTACTGGGCTATTGTTGACGGGACGAGTATAAATACATATAAATAAATACAAAATACCTTCACTGCACATTAGACCTATAAATCCATCCTCACAACCAACATGTTCACAACTGCCACTTGTTGTATTACATGGTGTACCTCTAGCACATCGTCCACAGGCGTTAGCACAATTATCTCCATAATATCCAGCACTACAATCTAAACATATACAAAATATAAATCATTTACAACATAAATGACGTAATGTATTACTTTGGAATGGGGTTTTATAATTGGACGTTTGTAGAATTATCACCATAATACAATACAATCTTAAAATATATAATACTAGCGGATGAACAGGTGCTGCACGCTATCTAGCTTATGTTACGCCCTGGTCCGAGGTACCCATATATACCAAATTTCAGCCTCTGGCCAGCCCTAGTGTAGCCGCCAACCCTGAACAGACAAACAAACAGACAAGACAAACGACAGTCACAAATATTCACATAATGACGTAATGTATTATTGGAATGGGTTTTTTAATCGGATGCTTTGCTGGCATTTAAACATAATACTTATAATTATAATTCACAATAAATTCTATAATTTTATTATATTTACTTTCAGAACAATAGTTTCCCTTCTTTCCAGCAATGCATCCAAGGGAACAATTTCCGGTCATCTGATCACATGATGGTTTTGTGCACTGTTCACTGGATGTGGCATTGCAAGAGGTCGACGATGCAATATTCCGTGGCTTACAGGTAAAACTACAAATTTCATTACACGATGTTCCCCATCTTCCATCTTTACATTCAGTACAGGAGTTATCATCATCTTGTTTACAATGAATACAATTATAATTACAGTTTTTATCACAATATTCTCCACTTTTACCTTTAATACATCCATCAATACATGTACCATTATATCTATCACATCCACCATTACATGTAATAGTACAATTCTTATCACATCTATCACCATATCTTCCCATAATACAACTGGTACATCTACCATTTCTATCACATGTTATATTACCTGTGATTGGTTGACATCCACTACCACATGTTGAATTACAATATGGACCTACTGTATTAGGTTTACACTGACGACACATACCGCTAGATTTATCACACACTGCAGAGCAATTACTGGAACATTTTGATCCACAAGTTCCGTTTGATTTAGAACAGTTATTATTTAAACAACCAGTACTACAGTTCTGTTGACAGTTGTCACCATATTTACCTTGTTGACAAGTCTCACATTTATCTCCAGTAAAACCCGATTTACATGTATTACAATTACCAGTTGTTGAATTACACAATCCATCTTTACAGTTAATATTACATTTTTTCTCACAGTCTTCACCATAATTACCATCTGGACAACCACCTGTTGATAAAGAGATTAGCTATGTGATGTTAAATGTGAATGGAACGACAATGATACCTTCATCGGTAAGCATACTGTTTTGTTTTATGGAAATTTTCAGTAGGTTTAAATACCGTGCATGTGTATTTTAACATTGGCTTAAGATTCTGTGATACATTCATATATTATTTTATTGGCATTCTAATCGTAACTCGTTTTCACGTGTTCCGTGCTCAAGTCTTTTTAATCCATATTTTGTTATCACGTTTAAATAATCATATCAGTTTAATTTACCTTTAAATACTTGTACTTCACACAGTGTAAGAGCTTGATTTGGTTTATTTTGAATAAAAACAAATCTACCAGATAAAGATGTTGATGATGTTTGGTTACATCCTGCTATGTTATAAACTGTGTGGTTTTGTTGTGAAGTATCTGTATAACATGATCTAGCTGATTCCAATCCTGTTCCTCTACATTGACCTGTATTACTTAACTTCATTGTAAATCCCCGAAGTCTTCCTTGTACTAAAAAGAAATAATACATAGATTGAACAATTTACAATAAAACATGATTCTGTCCGATTTTACTTTAATTCTGTTTGTACATGTCCATATCCAGGTGTGAAAAGCCGTGAAACAAATTATAAACTTAATACCCTTGAAGAATTGATAATGGTTCATATTCTCACTCATTGTAGTAAGTCATTATATTACACGCATATTACTAGCTATACATTTTGAACTTAATTATATTTATAAATTATTCACAAAACTATGTATAATTATATTAATATTGTTAAAAATATATATTGTAGATCAATACACCACCATACATTAAATTATAGTCATTCTACTTACATATATTTCTGTTATATAATTTAATGTTGTTAATAATATAGACATGTTTTAGATCAACACACCACCATTCAATGGCACCCTTTTCAGTATGAGTACAGGAATTACCGTTAAAATAACTATCAGTATTATTATCTACAGCATGAGGTGAGTCTCCAGCACCTTTTGCTTGTGATGAAGAACTTTGTTCAGTTGGTTTGTTTATAGCCACATTCCTAAAAACTGTAATATAACGTGAAATGAAATGAAATGGGGTTTAAAGTCCCCCTGGGCTTGGTTTTTTTTAAAAAAAGATACAATACTAAAATTAAGTTGTATCGCCGTTTTCCATTTTAAAAAAAAATGCCAATATTGATACCATTTGTATCTAACAATATTAATGCATAACATCGAATACACTTACAAAAGAGATGCTGAGAGCTATACATACTGTAATTAAAGATGCAATATGTCAGATTTAGGTAAATGAATACATTGAAGATTTCATTCAAATTACTGCACCCTAAGCGCAGTTACGAGTGTTTGAGGTTTTGACAAGAAATAGCCGATTGTTTAGTATTATTGTCATGATAATAAACACAGTCTTGATTGTCAATCCTAATATTGAGTGACGTCCATTTTAACTGTAGTATCACTGATTAAACGACGCGCCAATCTCATGCAGCCATCCGATGATCTAAAGAGTGGATTATGGATCAGTCATATTAATAAATGTTTAAATAATAATTTAGGAAACACTTGAAGCCAGAAAAAAAACCTGCAATGGGCATATTTAGCTCTTACATACTGTATATTTAAAGTAGCTAAGTCTCTAACTCAATATCATCCAAAGTCGTACACGTTGAAAATACGAATTGTAAATCCCCGATGGCATATGTACGTAAATAAAATTTACTCTGATTTATATATATATACTTATATATTATATATATATGTATATATATATGTTCATATACCTAAATCTTAGAAATTCTTGGAAACACGTTACAGGGATACATTTAATACAAGTATTTAGGATAACCTGATATAAACAATGTAGATGTGTAGGAGCAAGGGTATAATATATTAAAACAAAGGATGATATTACACTGACTATAATATAATCAAATAATTACTTATTAATATATATTTAACTTACCAGTTATGCAGAAAGCTTGGTTCAATAAATAGAAAGTGATCAGCAGCGTTTGCGAATCCATTCTATCACAATCAACCCTAGGTCTCAAGTAAACCAGATTTTATGAAACAATTCCCACAAATCGTAAACCAGGAAGAAAGAATAGAACTAAATATATTATACTAACGGTGATATTGTTATACAAGCACTATGTATATTGTACACTAGGCATCCAACTATGTATATGGGGACCAGGCAGTTAATTAACAAAGTAGCTTGTTCCGGAAAGCAAGTAATAATCTGTTGGTTTTCTATCTGTATGTATTCCATATGATAAATTCGGTTGTTTTGCTTAAAATTAAGATAATATGTGTATTACACCCGTGTTAAAAAATAAAATTATCTGACCAAAAATGGGGTTCGATCACAGGAAGGCACTATTTTTGTTTAGTTTTACTCGATTATACATCTAGTAGTGGATAATAATATGCAAATAAATCGGCCAATAAGGAGGTAAACGGCAACCCGTTTTTATCGTTCGGTAAATTTATGACCTCCATCATCTGGATAAAAAGGTCCACTTTATGGTATGATGCATATGTTTTAGGCTCGGTTATACATAATATCTTGAAATATTTTTTTTCTTTTTGTGGAGTTATCTCGACTGTCCCAGGATTTAAATGCCCCAGGTTTCAGTAGGGTTAGGGTCTTGTAAACTGACTTTATAACAAAAGCCACGTGTTGGCCTTTATGTTCCCATGACGGAGGTAATAAATTTACCGAATGGTAAAAAACGGGTAGATGTTTACCTCCTTATAGGCCAATTTATTTCGTTATTATTACCCTCTTGAGGTGGTAATAATATTGGATCGGGTGCATCAACCCGAGTTCACTACACAATGACGAATCTTCATTACTTTTTTTTAAAAAAATTTTTTCATATAAACAAATTCGAATGCCTGTATTGGTTTAAAAATAAACAATAATACATTTATTATTACACAGAATAATCAACTATACATTTACTATATTACAGAATAATCAATTATACATGTATTATATTACAGAATAAATAATTATGCATTTATTATTGTACAGAATAACAATTATATATTTATTATGTTACAAAATAAAAAAATATACATTTGTTGTATTACAGAATAAACAATTATTCATTTGTTATATTACAGGATAAAAAATATACATTTATTATTTTAATGAATAAACAGTTTGACATTTACAGAATAAACAATTAAACATTTATGATTCTAAAGCATAGCCAATTAATATTTTTATAATAATGTGCACAAAGGCGTCACCTCACGCTGCAAATATTGATGATAGAAAATGTATAGTAATGATTAATCTATCTATTATAAGCACAGCTTTCATTACATTTGTGCATAGACGCATGAGGACAATTTCGCATTATTTTACCATTATCATTTATATGCCACATAAATCTTGTAATAATAGCTGTTAGCTGTTTTGTAGTGGTGGACAAAAAGTACAAAATTAATTTGTTTGATTTCCATCATTTTTGAAAATTGTAATATACGGATAGAAACAAAGGTGCATAAGCACAAGTAAAATGTTAATAAAGATATCGTTGACACCTCTTTTATTCCCTTCCAATATTTACATATGCAGAGACGTGTTCCAATGTCTTATAATAAGGATCAGCTACACCACCGTGGTCATTTGAAGCTTGTTCTAATGTATCGTAAGTGTTTTCTTCCGTAACAACTGGACTGACGTAGGTATCTGGACGATTATTATATCTATAACCAGGTGTTTCTCTAGCTGGTTTAGGTGGAGGCCTTCTAAAAAGAAAGAAATATTCAAGAATTCATGACCAAACTGTCTATCACTAATTAATGGATAGAAAGTAGTACTTTGGTGCATTGATCAAATAAAAAGTTGCATAAGTTTAAAAGGAACACAATTTAAGGGAGATAAATGATTTACATATTGGAAAGATCTGTAAAGCACCACCATTACATCGTTAATACATAAGATTATTTCTAGCTTACTTGTAGTAGTAATTATAGTCAAAGGGGATCATACAATACCTTTTGATGTAATAACAGAAGCCGATAATACCAATCAGCACTGTGACTGCTATTCCAAACAAAGCTCCTATAATACCATCAACCACAGGGCTTATACTCGATCTACTCTTTTCAGGTTTATCTTAAAATTGAATTATATATAGAATAAAGTACAAATCTAAGTGATACAGGTGCAACTAATTACACATGTTAATACTTTACTACGTCATTTGGCGGCGCTTAGCAGTATCAGAGCTATAAATGAAATGGGGTTTAATAACCTACTATTCTGCACCTACTATTCTACACCGACTGGGGGGGGGGGGGGTCACGTGGCTAAGTGGTTAAGACGACTCGCTAGCCTGGAGGTCGGGTGTTCGATCCCTGCATTGGCCGAGAAAGTTCATCCAGATTTCCCGGCGTGGCTTCTCCTTGTCAGTGATGCAGGACGGAGGGCCTGACAAGTTGTCTAGTCGTTCGGATGGGACCAAAAACCGAGGTCCCGTGTACATATTGGCATGCACGTAAAAGATCCCATGGCAGTTGGAATTTGATATAAGAGTAGGCCGTAGCGCCGCTGCCCGGGCAAAATTTCCCTCATAGCACACTGTATGGCGTATGCCCGTCTTCATTAGCCCAGTTTAGGAGCAGAACAGTAGGACGTTAAACCCTATAAATTTCATTGCACCGACTGGGCATATGCCATGCAGTGTGATATGGGAGAAATTTGACCTGGATAGTGGCACTACGGCCTACTCTTTATTTCGAATTCTAATTGTTACGGTTTTACGGTTTTTCGTGCCATCGGAATCACTAGATCCCCCCCCCCCCCCAAGAGTCCTGCACTGGGCCAACACCATGATCGAAGACGGGACCTTCAACACGGACTCGAGTATATATCTTACTGCAATATACTAACTAGTACCTTGGGAACAGTCACTTCCTGTCTTTCCGGTTTGACATCCATCCGAACAACTTCCTGTCATCTGATCACATAAGCTGATAGCAGAATCATCCGGTGTATTACAGTTAAAACTACAACTTTCATTACACGATGTTCCCCATCTTCCATTTTTACATTCAGTACAAGAGTTATTATCATCTTGTTTACAATGAATACAATTATTATTACAGTTCTTATCACAATATTGCCCACTTTTACCTTTAATACATCCATTAATACATGTACCATTATATCTATCACATCCACCATTACATGTAATATTACAATTATTATCACATCTATCACCATATCTTCCCATAATACAACTGGTACATCTACCATTTCTATTACATGTTATATTACCTGGGATTGGTTGACATCCACTACCACATGTTGAATTACAATATGGACCTACTGTATTAGGTCTACAATCAGTACAAGTGCCGTTAGGTTTATCACACGCTCTAATACAATTACTTGAACATTTAGATGCACAGTTTGTACCATACCAACCGGCTGTACAAACAGAGCAAGACCCATCTAATTTAATGCATGTGTTATATAAGCAACCTTCATTACACTGACTTTTACAGTTTTGACCGTACCAACCTGGATAACATGCTCTACATTGTCCTGTACTCTGGTTACAGTTGCCTAAACAGTTAGTTATATCACATGATGAATTACATCTTACATCAAACCAACCAGCCGTACAGACAGGACAAGTTGCGTCTGATTTAGAACAGTTATTATTTAAACAGCCCTCACTACAGCCCTGTTGACAGTTTTTACCGTACCATCCATTATTACAACTGTTACATTGTCCTGTAGTCTTGTTACAGTTGCCTACACAGTTTGTTATATCACATGATGAATTACATCTTACATCAAACCAACCAGACGTACAGACAGGACAAGTTCCGTCTGATTTAGAACAGGTATGATCTACACATCCAGTACTACAGTTCTGCTGACAGTCATCACCATATTTACCTTGTTGACAATTCTCACATTTATCTCCAGTAAAACCTGATTTACATGTACAGGTACCATTATCTTTATTACAGTTATTGTTTGTACAACCATTACTACATCTATATTGACATGTTGTACCATAGAAACCTGGTTTACATTCAAAACACTCTCCTGTATTTATGTTACAGTTACCTATACAGTTAGTTACTGTACATCTCTGTTGACATGTTGTACCATAATAACCCTGTATACATGTAATACAATTACCAGTTGTTGAATTACACAATCTATCTTTACAGTTAATATAACATTGATTCTCACAGTCTTCGCCATAATTACCATCTGGACAACCACCTGTTATAATACAACATAAATAAACCATGATTACATCTATATATTCAACACAAACCCACAATGACCTGTTTTACAGTACCATTCGGTTAAGCTGGATAGCAATTGTAAAGTTATCATTGCATAGAAAGATTGTGTAGGCCATCATAATTACCTACACCACGCCTGTCTGCTTCCAATTTTTGGTATTATATGACTGCAGTTCTAAGACAAATATATTTAACTTAATCTGAACTTCCAAACTACTCCCTTGAATAGCGTTCCAAAACGACGTTGATTATTTAATTTACCTTTAAATACTTGTACTTCACACAGTGTAAGAGGTTGATTTGGTCGACTTTGAATAAAAACAAATCTACCAGATAAAGATGTTGATGATGTTTGGTTACATTCTGTTATGTTATACACTGCGTGGTTTTGTTGTGAAGTATCTGTATAACATGATGTAGCTGATGTCAATCCTGCTCTATTACACGGGTCTGTATTACTCAACTTCATCGTAAATCCTCGAAGTCTTTCTTGAACTGAAATATAACATACGGTAATTAGTGTATTCAAACGCATTTACTGTTTTTGTTCTTATCTCAATCTACATTTTCTGAATGAAATTTTGTTCAAAACAATAACAAATAAAAACCTCATAATAATCTTAAATACCGACATTACTAAGCTTATTTTAGCCAAATAAAGCGTAGAAATTCGCCAACAAAGCAGCCATGTCTCGGCAGCAGCTTAACCCAAAGACAAAACAAACATGATAAATGTGACCTCTATCGTGTTCACAAGCTTGAAATAAATACTTTAACAACCATAACACCTAGCATGTAGCATCTATCTAGGGTTCGTCCACTTAAAACTCGAATGATTTACGCCTCTGTTAGGATCACGATGGTTTTGGCCAAGAAAGGGAGGATATCGATAGAATTCGTCCTCTTATGACCAATTTTGTAAGGAATCAGTTAAAAACCAATCGGGGGATAACTCTGGCATGGAAGGTCACAGACCATAATACTTCATATCCGTCCAAAACTGTAACATCTATCTCTTTCGCAAGCTATTTGTGGACAAATTTGAAATCAATTTAAACCTATAGCCTGTATCGCATTCACAAGGTTTTCGGCGAATTGAGCATGGTACGGAAAGCCACCGAGCGCTGAATATCGATAGAGTTCATCCTCTCATGGCCATACTGCTTACACTAAATTTGGAGAGAGAGAGAGAGAGAGAGAGAGAGAAATGGAGTGTAACGCCCACTCGACACAAACTAGGTCATTTCGGGACTAACATATGGTTTAATTTTATTTCAATAATTCGCTTGCGCGTAGGGGTTTTTAGCAGTAGGAGGAAACCGGAGGACCCGGAGAAAACCCACGAGGTTGGGCAGGCGACCCTACTCCTTGTCACGTACAATCGGGGATTCGAAACCACACCAGTTGACTCAATGACAGACTTTATGATACAGCGTGCACACGCTAACCATTCAGCCATCCAACCCCCCACTAAATTTGGAAAGGATCCGTTAAACTGCAGACTCTATCGCGTCGACACGATTTTCGGTAAAAGGGGGTAACTCCAGGATCGATCCCAAAGTCCATAGGGTTTATCTTTTCAACTGATCTCAATTTTTTCGGCCAAATTTGAAAAACATCCGTTAAAAATTACAGCCTATATCACAAGATTTTCGGCAAAATGGGCATAGCTCTGGATTGGAATATTGAAGAAAAATAATTAATGAAATACTGTAGCCTCTATTATGTTCACAAGCCAATTGTTGACGGACATTCCTAAAAACAAACCATTACGGTGACGACACAATACTTCCACAGGAAATGTGATCGTATCAAAATGAACTGGATACAAGGCGCTCTAAACCTACACTTCTTTCGCATTTTCTGAGAACATTTGGTTTGAGTACCCGAATATTTTGATTAATAGAAGGCATGGAACCCAGTACAGTATGTGATGTATGTGCATTCTTATCAATATGAATGAACAATATTCAAGATGTCCATCCAAGATCTATGTTCCTTAAATGCCAAAGTAATAAAACATATTTTTACTCCATCAAGGATGCTATATATTCAAGAATGTCGGCTCATCTTTTAGTCACGTGCAAAAGTAGAAGAACAGTAAGTTGTTAGCTGTTTACACTGAAATGGGCATCGATTTCAGAATCTGACAGAATATAACCCCGGGGTTAACAACAGCTACAATTCAGAACAACAGGATCAGTGGATTATTGCTAATAAATCGTTTATTACAACAGATATTACAAAATGGTGTATGCTAAGTACAGACGATGTAAGAATTGGATTGGTAATAAACAAACAGCCCAACAAAAAGGAATAAAACAAATAATTCAATACACCACCATGCATCAAATTATAGTCATTCTACTTACATTCATCTCTGTTATATAATTTAATGTTATTAATAATATAGACATGTTGTAGATCAACACACCACCATTCAATGGCACCGTTACCAGTATGAGTACAGGAATGATGGATAAAATCACTATCAGTATTGTTATCTATAGCATGAAATGAATCACCGTATTCTTGTGGTGAAGAACTCTGTACAGTTGTTTTGTTTATAGCCACATTCCTGAATGCTGTAATAATACAAAATATAGTCTGTAATTATAACAATTATTATATGTTATTATAAATCTTGCTTTAAAGAGACATAATACTTATAATTAGCTATATTTGTATTTTCCCAATTAGGGATATGACCAAACGATACAAGTGGTTTCTTTATAGAAACATTTAATCTGCGTTGAACCTTTGTATTGTTCATATTAAATGATAAAATGAATTACGGGGAGCCGCGGAGGCTCAGAGGGTGAGACGTTGGTTTGCTATCCTGCAGGTTCCATGTTCGATCCCGGTGTTGGCCAAGAATTTTCATCAGGTTTACCGGCGTGGTTCCCATTTGGCAGTTATGCAGGTCGTTCGGGCGGGACGAACAACCGAAGTCCCGTTGGCGTGCACTTAAAAGAACCCTTGATAGTTGAAATTCGAAATAAGAGTAGTCCGTAGCGCTGCTATTGGACCAAATGTCCCTCATATCACACTGCCATACGTATCTATCGCTCGAAGACTAAATACTTCTACGCCGTAGCGTGTCACTTATGTTTTGAATGAACACACTGAATGGCGCATGACTGTCTTCATTAACCACTTTCAGTATATAGGTCACAAGAACACTCCAGGAATATCGCACATGTCTATTTATAATATGCCAAAAAAATCTATTAACATGATATGAAGATAGAATAAACCTTTACGGGAGGGGTGGAGGGGGCGGGTCGCTTCTAAATTAATCCATGTACTTAAATTTTGCACTGGAAAAAGTCAATTGACAACTACAATCAATTCTGACCTGCCTAAACAAACTATATTTATAATGTATGTATTCAACTTACCTGTTATACAGAAAAATTGGTATACAAGACAAAAAATGAACAGGGATATTTGAGACACCATTTTATAACTGATAACTTCAGATCTCAACTAAAATATTACACTTACAAGAACCCACTAAAAATGTTAAACATGGAAGATAAATAAATCTAAATAAATATTTGATAGTAAAGGTTATATCAACATAGTGTCTAATTTTTTTTAGCAATGAAATACACAGTTTTAGAACGGGAAGTAAACAACCAAGAGCAATTTATAACTGAAAACATTTTTTATCAATATATCTAGGCAACAAAGATAAACAATATATCCAAAAATAGACTTACTTACACTTACAGTAAATTGTAACGGAGAGACCGAATACTACTATAATATAAGTGACGACCTTAAAATCATCTCGTAACAAGTAGATTATATCGTAATTACAAGTATTTATAACTATGTAGTATTTATGAGGTAACATGTCGTAATTACAACATAATGATCTTCCGTACTCTTGTTTCTTTTGTAGGATACAGTTGGGATAGGAGCAAAGCCGAGTGAACTGACAAAGCTGATAAACAAAGTGCATCGTGATGGTATTCTATACACAGCTCCCACCATAAGGCTACTAAATATTCGGTCAGTATCTGTTAAGCGAACTAAATCTATATTCTTTGGAACATAAAATGGACGAAAATGGGTATTAATGTAATATGAATGTACATAAACTGTTTTTGTAATTTCTAATAGTCTAATTGAATGGCAGTCGGTCGCGCCTGGTTAGTCTATTCTACATCAGAAGAATGGTTTGGCATTTCAATTAAGCTCTGATGTTTAACCTCGTTCAGCAAGGCACCTCATCACAAATCGGGCTCGAGAGCATAGATTACCGGCGTGTACTGGTTTTAAAATTATTCACTGTTGTCTTAAATATTTTGTATCAGGAGCCCATATTTTCACGGTAAGATAAAAACATCACTATTGATTGTAATGTCAAAGACTCTCGATAAAATTGAGGTAGAATTTTATACGCTCTTGTATACAGTTTGTGTCGTCATTTATTGATATAGGGGGACTTTAATTGTGTCGTTCTGTGTCAAGTGCATAATTAAGAATAAGATCTGTGATGAACTTCACAGCACCACAGACAATTTATAGGGTTGGTTAACACAGACAAAAAAATGACTGTTTTGGAGAATAGCTTCCTTGTTGGAGATATATTGTAATTTAAAATGTACGCTTGAAAATTAAATAGTGTATGTTGTAAAAAGTGGGTGTCATTTTGATTAATACTAATAATGTATTCTTGATAAAGCGACCCACATTAAAGCGCTGTACAAACATAATTTAACTATGATATAATTAACTTCATGCAATTCCATTGAAAAAGCTCTTCGTTCCCGAAATAATAATTTATCGCCAAGGAACCTTTTTTCAATAGGCCTGTAAACAACTAAAATGAAATGAAACGGGGTTTAACGTCCTACTATTCTGCTCCGAACTGGACTAATGAAGACGGGCATACGCCATGCCGTGTGCTATGAGGGAGATTTTGCCCGTAATCACGTGCAATTACGTGCATGTTTTTGTTTATACGTCGCCATTTTGGACTATTGAATTGAAAGCAAAAACAAAATGGATAGTAATACGAAGTCAGACGAATAATCAATCCTTTTTAGCCAACATATTGACGATGGAATAGATGTGAATGCAAATATCGACGAGGATCTATCCAAAGCCTGCAGAAAATTTGGACCAAAAGGCATTCTTTTTCAAGAATTCTGACAGTGAACCATGATTGGAGGTTTTCGGTATGTTCAGAGAAGGATTTGACCGACTGTTTTAAGTGGACTGTACCCAAAAATACTTTACAACGGAACTCTTGGGCGATAAATACTCTCAAGTCTGTGTGGAGAAATAATCGCAATATGGACGAAAAGAAAATTCTGAAAGATGTCTTAGACATGGATAACCGATCTAAATACATGTATGTCGGTAAGTACGCCGTCTATTTCGGTCCTGAATGTAAGAAACTGTACCATAACAAATTTTAATTGTCAAAAGAATAAAAATTTATTTCTGTGTTTTTTTGTATTATTTCGATCATCTACGTCATCAGCGGTTGATATGAGCCGAATATATTGACCTGAGATGACGTCATTAGCGGTTGATATGAAATATCAACCTGTCATGACGTCATCAGCGGTTGATATGAACGAATATATCAACCTATGATGATGTCATGACAGGTTGTTATGAGATATAACTGCTATGGACATCAAAGTAAAAACTACCGCCAGTTGTATATTTTAAAATATGATTTCCCCCAAATTTTCAATTAGAACCTATACTGCACTTTGCGATTAGAACAGCAAGAAAAAAAGGAGGGGGGATCTATAACCCTTAAAGATACATAAAGAGCTGGCAGTTCTCACTATAATAATTAAAAACTAGATAATGTAAAGGGGGTTTGCTGAAAATTTCAGAAGGGCTTGCAGGTCTTTCTTTAGGCCTGAAATCTTATCTAAATTATTAATTAGACATTAAGTAACTATCTAGACCATAATCAACTCTCTATGTCATCGCTAGCCTGCGATATATATTGGATTATATGCAATGGATAATCGAGACTATGTTTTTTATCGTAAAGACTTTAGTAATGATGATAGAGGCTAGACCGAAAATTCAATCGCTAAATTCTCGGTTCAGAGTGGATCAATTTGACTGAAATTTCCAGCAAATTCCCTTTACATTATCTAGTTTTTAACTATCACAGTTAAAACTGCCAGCTCTTTATCTAATCTCCCATAATGTATCTTTAAGAGACTTTGCTTAGATTTCAATCGACAGACGATTACTTAATATATATAATATATATATATCTCGTAATCAGAAATTCTTCAAAATAAATAACAAGATGTCTAAATAAAACATAAATGTAACATATTTCTCGGAAATCAAAAATTGTTGAACGGTCTCTTTATAGCACAATAATATGCCTAAAAGCACAATTTCCTGTTCGTACTTGCTCTGGTGTTTTAGTGCAACTACATTTATTGTTTTCTTTTAATTTTAGAATACTTAATGTATTGTGTAATAGTCTTTGCTATTAGTGACACTGATACACTTCATCTGAAGACGAACAGCGTTTCGGTGAATGCAACTACCAATATGTTAGAAACCAACAAACACGGTGCATAGTTTAAGTCATTTTCTTTAGCTTTTATAATGATAGCTGTGGCACCTCCTTTATTCCTTTCCAAGATTTACATATACAGGGACTTGTTTCAATGTCTTATAATAAGGATCAGCTACATCACCATGGTCATTTGAAGCTTGTTCTAATGTATCGTAAGTGTTTTCTTCCGTTACAACTGGACTGACGTAGGTATCTGGACGATTATTATATCTATAACCAGGTGTTTCTCTAGCTGGTTGAGGTGGAGGCTTTCTAAAAAGAAATATTCAAGAATTCATGACCAAACTGTCAATCACTAATAAATGGATAGAAAGTAGTACTTTGGTGCATTGATCAAATAAAAAGCTGCAGTAACATTAAACTTTAAAGGAACACAATTTAAGGGAGTTAAATGATTTACATATTGAAAAGATCTGTAAAACACCGCCATATATTTATTATACGCACTACATTTTAATACATAAGATTATTTTTTATTTGAAAAAAAAACACATAAAAGCACCTAAAACACAAGTAATAATTATAGTCAAAGGGGATCATACAATACCTTTTGATGTAATAACAGAAGCCGATAATACCAATCAGCCCTGTGGCTACTATCCCAAACAAAGCTCCTATAATACCACCAACCACAGGGCTAAAACCTTCAGATGCACTCTTTTCAGGTTTATCTTAAAATTCAAATGTATATAGAATAAAGTACAAATCTAAATGATACAGTTGCATCTAGTTACAGTTGTAAGGATTTTACTACGTCATTTGGCGCTAAACTTGGGATGAACTATTAATTTTATAGCAATCAATTATCAATTGACATAAATTTACGTTAGCAGTATCAGAGTTATAAATGAAATGAGATTTAACATTCCACTTCTCTGCAGCGACTGGGCATAAGCCATAAGTGTGATATGGGGGACTGCCACGCTCTTTCGTCCCACCCGAACCACTATGCACTATGCCTTGCCAGACTCCCCCCCCCCCTTGCTGAAAAGGGAGAACCAGGCAGGAAAATTCAGATGAACTTTCTCGGCCATCACCATGATCCAACACGGGGCCTCCAGGTTCGCGAGCCAACGTCCTAGTCACTGAGCGACCCGACACGGACTCGAGTATATATTTTACTGCAATATACTAGTACCTTGGGAACAGTCGCTTCCTGTCTTTCCGGTTTGACATCCACCCGAACAACTTCCTGTCATCTGGTCACATACACTAATAAAAGAATCATCCGGTGTATTACAGTTAAAACTACAAATTTCATTACACGATGTTCCCGATCTTCCATCTTTACATTCAGTACAAGAGTTATTATCATCTTGTTTACAATGAATACAATTATCATTACAGTACTTATCACAATATTCTCCACTTTTACCTTTAATACATCCATTAATACAGGTACCATTATATCTATCACATCCACTATTACATGTAATATTACAAGACATATCACATCTATCACCATATCTTCCCATAATACAACTGGTACATACACCATTTCTATTACATGTTATATTACCTGTGATTGGTTGACATCCACTACCACATGTTGAATTACAATATGGACCTACTGTATTTGGTTTACACTGACGACAAATACCACTAGATTTATCACACCCTCTAATACAATTACTTACACATTTAGATGCACAGTTTGTACCATACCAACCGGTTGTACAAACAGAGCAAGACCCATCTAATTTAATGCATGTGTTATATAAGCAACCCTCATTACACTGACTTTTACAGTTTTGACCGTACCAACCTGGATAACATGCTCTACATTGTCCTGTATTCTGGTTACAGTTGCCTATACAGTTAGTTATGTTGCATGTGGAATTGCATCTTGCATCAAACCAACCAGACGTACAGACGTGACAAGTTCTGTCTGATTTAGAACAGTTATGATTTAAACAGCCCTCACCACAGCCCTGTTGACAGTTTGTACCGTACCATCCATTATTACAACTATTACATTGTCCTGTAGTCTTGTTACAGTTACCAATACAGTTAGTTATATCACATGATGAATTGCATCTTGCATCAGACCAACCAGACGTACAGACAGGACAAGTTCCATCTGATTTAGAACAGGTATGATCTACACATCCATTACTACAGTTCTGTTGACAGTCATCACCATATTTACCTTGTTGACAATTCTCACATTTATCTCCAGTAAAACCTGATTTACATGTACAGGTACCATTATCTTTATTACAGTTATTGTTTGTACAACCATTACTACATCTATATTGACAGTTTGAACCATAGAAACCTCGTTTACATTCAGAACACTTTCCTGTATTTATGTTACAGTTACCTATACAGTTAGTTACTGTACATGTCTGTTGACAGTTTGTACCATAGAAACCTGGTTTACAGTCAGAACACTCTCCTGTATTTCTGTCACAGTTACCTATACAGTTAGTTACTGTACATCTCTGTTGACATGTTGTACCATAGAAACCTGGTTTACATTCAGAACACTCTCCTGTATTTATGTTACAGTTATCTATACAGTTATCAGCTGTACATCTCTGTTGACATATTGTACCATAGAAACCCTGTATACATGTATTACAATTACCAGTTGTTGAATTACACAATCTATCTTTACAGTTAATATTACATTGGACCTCACAGTCTTCACCATAATTACCATCTGGACAACTACCTTTTTTGAATACACAAATAAAAGTATTTAAGACTATATAAGAAAAGGTACATTGCAAATTTATGATGCCCTTATGCGTGAAAGGGGAACATGCTCACGGTATCACGCATATTGTTTCATTATCTAGGTTAATGGCAACGTCAAGTTGCCAGTATTTACCCCCCACCTCCCCTCCCATTTATTCTTTAGATTCATTTAATGCGGCTTATACGACGTCTTTTCAAGGACTCATGAACACTTTCAGTGCCAGTTTCATAATTCCAACCTTGTGTCACCCCACACACACCTTCCGAATTATGATCTTACAAAATCTTAATCTAAGCGAATCGTCGTATGACCAAACTCAGAACAATTTGGAAAAAACTGCATTAAGTATAAAATATTCCCTTTTTAAAGCAGTATAACTATAGCTAATCTGATCCACGCGTAGTGATATTATAATGAAAAGAGCATGCCAACTGAAAATAAATATTAAAAACTTAATTTCAACAACAGGGTTATGTTCAAAGTGAAGATTAATTGTTCCGTGTTTACGAAAATCCAACGGATATTAATTGTTATACCTTTAAATATTTGCACTTCACACAACGTAAGAGCAGTATTGTTTACACTTATAAAGACGAATCGCCCAGACAATGGAGTAGATGATGGTTGGTTGCATCTTTCTATGGTGTACACAGTTTGTGGTAACGTTCTGGAATCTTTGTAACAATGTATAGCCGATATAAATCCCGATTTGTCACACTTACCACCAGCTCCCATTCGCATTTCGAATCCTTTTAATCGACCCTGTTCTGAAACGTATAGTAAATCCTGATTTATCACCCTTACCACTAGTCCTCATTCGTATCCTGAATCCTTAGATTTATTCCAGAATAAGATATTCAATTCATACAGTTTGCTATGGGGGATATTTTTTCCGGACAGCGGCACCACCACCTACATATATATCCAATGTCAAGATTTCTTTTACGTGTACGTCCTTGAGTAAACAGGACCTATGTTTTTCGTTTCATCCGAATGACTTTAAGTTGACCCTTGCCAGGACCTCTCTCAAGGTAAGTGAGCCAATTACATGTACGGATGTAAAATTTGAACGACGACAGATTGCAAATCGACAAATTCATTTTCACCCAAACAAAGAGAAATGAATGAAATGGAGTTTAACGTCCTACTGTTCTGCTCCGAACTAGGCAAATAAAGACGGGAATACGCCATACAGTGTGCTGAGAGGGACATTTTGCCAGGACAGGGGCACTACGGCCTACTCTTATTTTGAATTCCAACTGTCAAGGGGTCTTTTATGTGCACGCCAATGTGTAAACGGGACCTCGGTTTTTCTTCCCATCCGAACGACTAGACAGCTGTCCTTGTCAGGCCCTCCGTTCTGCATAACTGACAAGGTGGGGGGGGGCACGCCGGAAAATCTGGATGAACTTTCTCGGCCAATGCAGGGGTCGAACACCTGACCTCCAAGCTAGCGATCCAGCGTCTTACCCACTTAGCCATCGTGGATCCCAAACAAAAAGGAAGTGCCATATTGATAATAATTAAGGCTAATCAGTTCAACTGATGCTTCCATTTCCTGTAAACTTTGTCTCTTAAAAGGGTGCATCTCTGGTATTATTTTTCAAAAATTTCTGGGATATTATGGCTTTTCATAAGGGTTGTCCTTGGTGAAATTCACAGTCGTTCGTCGTTTATATGCGGAGTTAAACATGCATTATTCAAGCGCTTAACCTGCCTATTGCAAGTCTTTCTTTAGGCCTTAAATGTATGAATTATTAATTAGACATTAATTAACATGACAAGACCATAATCAACTCCCGAAGCCATCACGTGGCCCCGATTTTAATTAGATTAGAACGGTTCGGCCATTTAATGATTTAATTTTAAAATGGAGAAGCGAGGCTAAGACTCAAATGACCAGTACGGTGGTTACAATCAATACACACATCTGGTCAAAACTAGAACTTGGTTCAAAATAAAGTGATTTGAATGAAATTTTCAATTCATTCATTTTGCATCATCTATTTTTGAAATATTATAGCAAAAATGGCCAGTTCTTTATCTAAATCTTACACAATGACGCCATCATGATGACTGAAGTCGCTACGGTGTGCTGGTGTGCATGTTTTCAATGTCTGTGTATGTTAAACATAGTGTTATATAGAACAGATTGTTGTATAACTATAAGACTATACAGGGCTACTAACCATTATCTCTGTTATATAGTTTTATATTGTTGAAATCATAGACATGTTGTAGATCAACACACCACCATTCATTGCCATTGAAACCAGTATGTGTACAGGAACGATGATTGAAATTACCATCAGTATTATTATCCACTGCACGAGATGAGTCACCGTTAGTAAATGGTGAACCCCCCCGTGGTAATACGTAATGTTGAACTCTGTGCCGTTGGTTTGTTTATGGCGACGTTTCTAAAAGCTAAATTACACATAGTTATCAGGCATTCCTAAACAAGGGCGATAAATCGCGTGCTTTGAACGGACAAGGTATTGTTTCCTCTGAATGTGGCACACCTTTACAGCCATTCTTTCTTTCTCCATTTTGCATAGCATGTTGTGTTGACCTTTTGGTCTAGTTCGGTGAATAATAGTTTAATTCACACCTAAGGGTATTTTATCATAATATAAACATATTATCATCATTGACAAAGAGTCTATGCTGTGTGTTATATATAACAGTATTCAAGGTATAGATGCTTTCCATGATTTACTCCTGTGCTGGTAAAATGCAGTTTTTTTTTCTTTTAACGATAAATAATAATTACTACACGTAAGTAATTACAAATAATATATAGTAAGAAATTATTTACCTGTCGTGGTAAACACTTGACAAAATAAGAAAAGGCATGAAAGTGGAAAATATGTAGACATCTTGTGGGCTAAATATAGCACTGAGCAGTGCACATTCTATAATCAACCAGGAAGAATGTGATAATAACATATCTCCTTATCGATAGTACAATAGATATGTGGATACGTGTACATTAGCCTATCATAATGTTATAAAGCAAAATTTACGCAATGTTTTACCTTTTGGGGAATCATTGAACTACTTGCCCGGAGGCTAAAAAAAGCTAATGTCGAGCCTTGTAGTACTACGATGGAGAGATTGAACTAGATCTCGGTGAGACATCATTCGACGTTCCTAGAAAGACGTACACCATTCACAGTTCTTAAAGAGTTCATGCAGATCCTTTAGCGCTTGCAGGTGTAGGTGGCTTTGGCTTTTGCCAGTCTTAAGATCTGAGCACCCTCGCCCCTCCCTCTGTGTACGCCCTTGTTAATAATCATACGAAAATATTAGGGTGTTGAGGCTTTATATTTCATATTTTTATGCATGCAATATTAATAGTGTACTAAATAAATTATAGGCGAGGCTGTGTATTCTGATACAAATACACCAGGAAATTGGTTAGGATGTCTTGTGTTGAAGATGCACAGTAAAAAAGGTAAAGGTAAAGAGGAACAAATTGTGTGTACAATTCCGAAATAGGCACAATCAATAAATACTTTTTGCAAAATGATCTAGTTTCTGCAAAATGAATTAATTTCTTCAAAAGAAAAGTTTTCATCATTTAAATCTTCGTGTAAAATTATGTTGACTATAGTTCTCGTGGTCGTACGGTTATAATTTATTCTATACTGGCATCGGTAAATTTGTCTTATACTGAATCTTTCTTTTTGAACATACAAATTCATTGCTGCAATTCTTAGGTAAAAATTATGTAATGCTGGCGTTACACTGTCCCGAAATTGACACCAGATGGCCATACGAATATTATGGAATTATGAAACTCCGGACGGCCCCGAACTTGGTCAAAAACCAATCAACAACCGAATCACACCCCCGAATTACACACGACGGTAATACGAAGATGTGAATTTTGTATATAGAGAATCTCCTATCAGTCTTTTTTGATATCAAAAAAGACGAGTAGGAGATTTTATTTATCACCCAATCCCTTCTTACATGCACAGATAGATAAATATAATTCTTTGCTGTAGATTTCACTTTTACTGAACATTACGGCGTAGTGATACATCATTTTTTGACAGCAATTCAGCCATTGCAAAGTCCTTTATATTGACCCAGTGTTTCCATCAAGGTCAATTGAATAACAATAGTTCATTTTTAATAACAAAAAAGTTACTTTTAATAAGAAATGAACTGTTCTTTGAAAATAAAAAAAAGTAGTTCCTTTTCAACTGACCAATCAAATTCATGTAAAGCGGTATCTCCTAAGGAGATATCGCAGTAGATTATGAAATATATCACACAAGCAATATCTACTGTAGAATGTATTATTGGGTGATAAAGTTGTTTATACGCGCAGGCTACACGATGCCTCTGTAGAATTGCTCAGGACTGACTTAGGAAGATGTTTTATCGGGCGTCACAGTCTTTCGAAATAGAATTTGTCACACGATAAAGTAACTTAGGCTCTGATCGTAAAAACATCGGGCCATTCGCGAGGGCGTCTTAAGCCAGCGTATGACTGCCTGTGAAGATTTTCAGGCTCCGGCAGCAACTTCGTGAGTGCTGGCAAAATCTTTGGCATACTTAAAAATTGCCGAGAAACCTTGCGAAGGTTCATTTTCGTGATGAATTCGTGTGTCCATTTTGACCTTCCTAAGGCAAGGCCATCGTGAGGGCATCTTGTCAAATCGCGTAATATTCGTCTTTACTTCGTGGTTTAGTTGCATATTTAAAATTACTTGTATAAACGCATAGGCTTTAAAATCTGGGCTTTCTCGTTTAAACAATATTTCTTTCAAACACGTGGTCGTAGCTATAGCTTCAAACAAAAACCAATCAGTTTAAAATACAGATATATATTTCGTTTCGTTTTTTTATACTTTCGTTGGCCTACACTACATGAAGATCTGACCAGCTGTACTGGGAGGTCACGCCAGGGATCATACGAGCGGCTTTTGACTCTGTGACGTCAGACATTGATTAATCAATCGGTGTTGACGTTTCTAGGCTTTACCCACAGTTCCGTGTGTGCAGAGCACGCCAAGAAGTCGCCGTAACAGACCGTTTCGCCGTAACAGACAGTTTCGTTGGCTAATTCCTCACACCAACTAGAACGCCTGTTATATAACAACTCTTTCAGATCCGAGTATTGTGAAAACAAGTAAAACGAAATTTCGAACTATAAAAAACGAAACGAAACAGGATCTGTGTTTTAATCAGATTGAGCAAATACACAAAAATGTGTTTATGGTGAATATAGCGAAAATAGATATGGATATTTATTTAATCACATTTCTCTTCTAGTCAAAGCAATACAACTAAAAAATGTTTATTCTTTGTTTAAACAGCCTAAAATGTCGATGAATAATCGTGGGTTGTTTCCGGTCCATGATTCAGGGTACAGTCGCATATATTCTGTTTCTACCGGATTGGGAAATCGAAAACTTAAAGGCACATCAAGATGACTGTTTGCAGGCATACTAAAAATCTGAAATAAATACAAATATATAGTCTGTAAGTAGTCGCATAAATTGTTATTCAAGCCACTGTGCCGTGTCATTGATTGAAGACATTCTTCCATCATGAATTTTGATTATTTACATCATGTAAAAGTGTTTCAGGAAATCAGTGTATACACGGATGTAATAATATCGACTAGCTAGAGGATATTTAAATATCTTTAAGGCGGCCATTGCCTTTTGTTATCGGAAACCAGAGAGGCCCATTAAGTGACTTCATCAGCCAAAATATTCCCTAGTCCACAATCAATATCCCACACCCTCTATGTCTAATTAGCCTCATCTCCCACATATGTCACCGACTGCAAGAAATGAAATGAAATGGGGTTTAACAGTGAACCAACGGGAAAAATGAAGACGGTCATGCAGTGTACCATGAGGGTGACGCTATGGCCTACTGTTCGTGCTGTTTCAAATTCAGGGGGGGGGGGGTCGCCTTATGGTTAGCACGTGCGTGCTGTATCACACGGTCTGTCATTGAGTCAACTGGAGGGGTTTCGATTCCCCGGTTGTACGTGCGTGCTGTATCACACGGTCTGTCATTGAGTCAACTGGAGGGGTTTCGATTCCCCGGTTGTACGTGACAAGGAGTAGGGTCACCTGTCCAACCTCGTGGGTTTTCTCCGGGTCCTCCGGTTTCCTCCTACTAGTGCTAAAGATCGCCGAATGGTTAGCACGTGCGCGCTGTATCATATGGCCTGTCATTGAGTCAACTGGCAGGGTTTCGATTCCCCGGTTGTACGTGACAAGGGGAAGTGTCGCCTGTCAAACCTCGCGGGTTTTTCTCCGGGTCCTCCGGTTTCCTCCCACTGCTAAAGATCCCTACGAGCAAGCAAATTGTTGAAATAGGATTGAACCATGTGTTGGTCCCAAGGTGGTCTGGTTTCTGTCGAGTGGGCGTTAAACCCCATTTCTCTCTCTCTCTCTGTGTCTCAAATTCCAACTATCAAGGGTTCTTTTAGGTGCACACCAGTGTGTACACTAGACCTCAATTTTCCGTCCCATCCGAACGACTAGACGATATTCCTCGCCAGATCCAGCACCACTGGCAAGGGGAAGCATACCGTAACATTGAGCCACCGCGCCTTCCGATTGCAAGAAATTAGATAACCCGTTGATCGATTTCTTGTTAAACGATGCTTAGTCCTTCAAAAACCGCAACTACTATGATTGTAAATATATTCTTTGAATGGCATGATTGTAAGTATTCTAACCTTGACGAACCCATCATCATCCACAATATTCTTCCATTTTAATTCATTATCCATAAACTGTAAAACAAATGACTTGATAATATTGTCTACTTTGACCTTGTCATTTGCCTGGCGAACTTTGATCCCCGTAACAAGAGCTGGCCCATCGACATCCTCCAATTCAATAGTGTGATACTTCTCAGCATTGTTCAGCAGTCCACTCTCAGGTAAATCATCAAACATGACAGAGAGGAGGGAACCATCTTTTGACAGAATACTCTTTGAGCAGTTTTCAAAACCTATAATATAAACCATAATAATATAGAATCATGTTTTATGGTTACAATGAACGTGGTTTCTCCTTGTTTAGCGGGGGGTTGGATGGCTGAATGGTTAGCGTGTTCGCGCTGTATCATAAAGTCTGTCATTGAGTCAACTGGCGTGGTTTCGATTCCCCGGTTGAACGTGACAAGGAGTAGGGTCGCCTGTCCAACCTCGTGGGTTTTCTCAGGGTCCTCCGGTTTCCTCCCACTGCTAAAGACCCCTATGCGCAAACGAATTATTGACGAATTAATTATTGAAATAAAAATTAAAACCATACGTTAGTCCCAAAATGACCTAGTGTGTGTCGAGTGGACGTTAAACATTATTTCTCTCTCTCTTCCCCCTTGTCTAGCTGTCTAGTCGTTCGGATGGGTCGAAAAAACAAGGTCCCCTGTACACATTGGCGTGCACTTTAAAGACCCCTTGGCAGATGGAATTCGATGTAAGAGTAGGCCACATCGCCGCTGTCCTGACAGAATTTCCCCACATATCACACACTGTATAGCGTATGCCCGTCTTCATTAGCCATTCGGAGGTAGGACGTTAAAACGAATTTCTTTCCCTGATTTCATGATAGGACGAATACAGGTCCTCTTTTTATAGCAATTATCCATACCTCTCCCCCTCCCCCACTCTTTCGCATGGTAAATTTCTTGAGGACTTTTTGGTCTTAAATCGAAGAAGGGTTTTTGAGTTCCTATTTCTCGCAGGTTTTGGTGAATATTCATAATTTTGGAGCGGAAGGATCAGAAAATAAACAGACTTGAATTAGGGTGGTCGTCACTGCTTATAGCTTATAGATTTCTTTGAACAGGCCTAGCAAACATTCAGTAACGGTCAACCACCTTCAATATTTAGTTGATATAATATGGAGGTCAATGGGCCGGGAATTATCAGTCTGAAATCATAACCTGACGCTTCCCCCCGCCGCCCACAACCACCTCAAAAATCGACTTACTTCCCTTGAAACGTGCTGCGAATGATAGCTGAGGGAGATTTACAATACGTAATTGAAATTGAATACGCGTGATATTTTAAAATACAGAACAATTTAATGGTGGATTATAATTCTATCACACGAACATTTATATATGGTCCCCGAAAATCAATTCATCTTTAAATATATCAGTTATATTAATCAGTGGTGAGTGTAACTCCATCTACTAAATAAATTTAAGTGCGTGTTTTTTCTTTTAGAGGTATACCATTTTGAAGCAATGATAATCACAAAAAAAACAGCAACCATTTAACAAATATTATAAATGATCTTAATTAAAACTATCCCATTGTCACGCGCATTTAAGAACCATAAATCTGTGAAATTGTAGCCATTTCCGCCTAAGGCGTTTTGTACCCGTATTCGTTATAGGCTGGTTGAAAATCTTATTATGAATGGACATATTGCATTTGTCTCGTATTTCGCATACATTCTAATTTGAAATTTCCAGATGCAACAACTTGAACTGGTAGTCTTGCTGGGGCTACTGAACGACTATAGTAACTCCTTGACTCGGCTACAGCTTTAAATATTTATTCAATCAAAATCCAGAAGATATTTGTTTACATCCTACCTGGAAGAGGGTCATCTGTGTAGCAGGCTTTTATATCTAGTAATAGGTATGGTTTACCAGTCCATTTGTGGGGATATATGCGTATTATTCGAGCATCGAGCGGTCTGGGTAGTAGAAACCTTTCAGGAACTAACACGGATTCTCTGTTTCTACTTCCGGTATCGAAGATCTATTTAGAAATAATTGTAATTGTATACATATATATATTTGAAAATATATATATATATATTTGAAATTGGAGCCACTCTAGCTCAATGAGAAAGACGTTGGCTTGCTAAACTGGAAGTTCCGTGTTCGACCCCTCCGTTTTCCAGCCTGGTTCCCCCTTGTGGTGCAGAACAGAGGGACTGGCAACGAACAAAGTATATGCGTTCGGATGGGACGAAACAGCGAGTTCCTGTGTAAACATTGACTTGCACGTAAAAGATCCCTTGGCAGTTGGGATTCGATATAAGAGTAGGTCGTAACACAGTTCTCCGGGCAAAATTTTCCCTCATGCTATGAGGGAAATTTTTCACCGAACTGCAGCGCTATACGACCCATCCTTATCTCCAACCGCCAAGTGTTCTTTTATGTTCACGCTAATCTACCCATATTTCGAATTCCAACTGACACCAAGTCCTGCAGAACTGAGAAGAAAACTGTGATGGGAAATCATCGGGATCGAATCCAGGACCATCTGGTTAGCGAGCCAGTGCCTTACTCAATGAGCCACCCTGGCTATCAAATCTATAACACCGATCAACAATTTTATTTATTTCGCAACGGTTATATTCATTCATAAACATCGGTGAAAATTAACTACCAATTGTTATGATCTTTAAGAGGCATTTAGTAACTGGGTAGAGCAATAAACTATAACACATACTTATGGAAGAACAATTACTGATTTACTGAGTATTCTCTCTTCGAAACGTCGCCTAAAATAAATCAGTAATTGTTCTTCCATAAGTATGTGTTATATTTTATTACCCATTGTTATACATGACTCATTCATCACCAGTTTCTCTACTTCAATCATCGGGGGGGGGGGGGGTCGGTGCGCGTTTGATCGTAAGGCCTGTCATTGAGTCAGGTGGCGTAGGGTCGCCTGTCCAACCTCCGGGGTTTTCTCCGGGTCCCCCGGTTTCCTCCCATTACTAAGGACCCCTACGCGCAAGCGAAATATTGAAATAAAATTGAACCATATGTTAGTCCCGAAATGTCCTAGGTTGTATCGAGTGGACGATAAACACCATTCCTCTCTCTCTACTACAATCATCAAATAATTGGAAGTAACATATTATCTATACCCTTTTGTTGCCTTTCATATCTGTATAGTATCTCCACTTGCCAGCACCATTTTGATAAAACAAAGAAAACTGACTTATTCCACCCCAGTCATTTAAATCATTGTTACCAGCAGTTTTCAACGAGAAGATTCTTGAAGGCGCAAGAAACTTGACCTGAAATAAGAAGAAATGGATCGAAAAATTAAACGAACTATAAATATAGAATACAGCAGTTTACTACCATTATTCGATTCTTACCGGAACAAATTCTTCAATTCAGTGTTCAAATGTATTAAAACCTTAACATGCTCCCCAAATGGCATTTTGTATGACCGATAACCTTTTTGAATGATAATGGAGGAAAATACAACTAAGTTTAGACGATGTCAACAAAACAGTATACCATCGTGATGATATATTAAACAGTAGTTATTCTATCCTTGATTTACCGAAACTGAAAATTATATCTGCAATATTCACTCCACTTTGATGCATATTCGTTGGTAAATAAGACGATTCGCATGTACGTTTTTTCGACAAAGAAAGAATGGCAACAACGGTTGATAACTCAGAGGTAATATAACAGGTATATATTTCCTTGTCTTACGTTAATTTACATTAAGTCGCCTGTCCAACTTCGTGGGTTTTCTCCGGGTCCTCCAGTTTCCTCCCACTGCTAAAGACCCCTACGCGCAAGCGAATTATGGAAATAAAATTGAACCATATGTTAGTACCGAAATGGCCTAGTTTGTATCGAGTGGATCGTTAAACCGTTAACCCCCCCCCCTCTCTCTCTCTCTCTCTCCCTCTCTCTCTCTCTCTCTCTCTCTCATTTACATTAAAATTTAAGAAAAAATGTTCATCTCATCCAAACAACTATATGTTGTCCCATGCCAGTGCATATACTAACACAAATTTGTAAGTTTGGAAAGTTTGTCACTGTACCTGCAGATACTGGTTCCTTCTTTGCGAAGAAAATAAATATGGATATTCCTTTTCCATATAAGCAGCGCTTTGGGCATCAGAGTCATGAACTTTCGCCGAGAATGTATCTTTTATTTCCCTTCTACCAGAATATCTCCAGACTGTATTGCTTTTACATTCTTCAGAATCTATAAAAGAGGGAAATGATACAATTTACATGCTAATTTTTACCATTAAATTACAAATTATGGCGTACACGCATTTATAAAGTTTTACTGCACTCTTGTTTATTATTAAATATACATTTAAAATTCAATGAAATAGGACTTTTAGCATTTAAAAGATTCTTAATTATTGCTATTTCACAGATCAATCGCAGACCCTACCTTGCTGTTTCTTTTTTAGTTTAAGTTTTCCTACATGTTTAATGTTCATAAGATTTTTATGTTTGGTCTTTTTGTAGGGAGATATCTTGGTAGGGCTATGTTTATGCTTGACCTTTTTGTTGTGAGATGTCTTGATAGGACCATATTTGTGTTTGGTTCGTTCGCTGCGAGATGTCTTCGTAGGACCATATTCGTGTTTTTTCCTTTTATTGTGAGATGTGTTGGTATTAACATGTTTGTGTCTGGTCTTTTTGTTGTGATATGTCTTGGCAGGGCCATGTTTGTACTGAGTCTTTTTGTTGTGAGATGTCTTAGTAGGACCATCATTACTAATTGGCCAATCAGAAGAATTTTCAGTATTTGCTTCAATGCAGTAACGAACCCGGAATGCGGCATAAGGAGATCCATCCCACATTTCAGGAAAGAAGCGTAGCTGTCTTGTCTTGATTCGGTTGGTTAAAGTGACAGTCGTTACTAAATCGGGTGTGGCCAAGTTTCCATGATTAACAAATACCTATTAAAACAGATAAAACGGACTTTAAAGATGCATTCCCGCGAAAGTATTTATAGGGTAGTTATTTCAGAAAAACGTATGGGAAATATATATATATATATCTGGTAAGTAGATAACCTACACTCAGTCTTTACTAGGACAATACTGGATTCCCAGAAAAACACTTAAAATAGATTTTCACGGTTTGAGGTAGCTGTTTGCGATTAAATGTCTTGAGGGGGATTTGAAGCAAACTTTGGATTGGTAAATTAGTTTGAATATATTTTTACTGTAGTCCAAATATATCATCAAATCACACAGTTTGTACGTGGGAGGGCATCTTTAAGGCTTTCGTCTTAGACGAAATGTTTTGACGAGCTAGGATAAAGTAAAATACAAAGCCGCACGGCAATAAAGATTTAATTGATTTTAAATTTGTTTTTTTGTACACGATCATAAAATAATCAATTGATTAACCAGAATATTGTAACGATACGATCCCCAACAGTCACACATCACGTGTAAATAGGGATAATTAAAATTATGCTACATTATAATAAGCTTAAGCTTACTCTTACTGATTTAAATGGCGGAAGTGAGAAATCCATAATTAATAATCTAAAAATAATAATAATATTAATTTCTTACATCTCTTTGTGTTTTCGGACTTTCTATTGGTATCCAAGATCCGACGCGATTTCTATATTTGGCTATATACTTTAAGATTAGTCCAGCTCGCTCTTTGATTGGCCCTTGTAATGGTCCAGGTCTTCCCTTGACATCCCAGCCGAGAATTAAACTTGGTTGGTTAAAGATTATACCCAGTGGTAATTTATTATTTTGCTCTAACAAATCTTGGTTATTTTCCAAAACGGTGAAATAATGTTCCTTAAATATTTCAGTTTCTTCGCAGTCTTAAATAAAATAAAGAACTGAATTTTAATGCACTATAATTTGAGATTTGTGATGTACTATGAGAATGAGATGATATTGTATAATGATAGTAACATTTAATGGTTGGTCTCTTCAGTCTTGTCGATACAAAAGGCTGCACGGAATAGATCCTACGTAACCATGTTGTAAATGCATGAATATAATGTAAATATCAGAAATTTTTATTAATCAAGCATTTTCTAACAAATGCATGTATTCGGATACTTTAAAATAAAATACTGGTGCGTAATCAAATCCGTACGATCAGAGGCAGATCAAGGCCACAACAGCAAGTCACAATTACATGACACTCAGGACTAAGTATAAAAACGTAATAAGTCGAACTTTTATGTTCTTATTTCTTAAAAGAAAATAAATGATATTATCATAACATTAATATGTAACCAAGATTTGCTTCATTTAACCCATCATCTGACTTGTTGGGTTGCTCAAGAAAATGTCTATCAGCTCACGACTCTAATAATTAAATCTCATTTGCCCGATTTCAGTAATTTTAGACGTGTTAAGCCCCGTTTACATGACCAAATAATACACATATGTGCATATTTGCATATATGTATTAATTACTCACGTATGCAAAAGTATATTTGCTAAGCGTTCACATGTTATATAAGCATTCACAGTAAATATGTAATAAAGTGTTTAGATGCTATTTAGTCATGGAGCGGATAGCAAGGATTCGTCGTCAAAGAACCTTTCAATTCTTTTAAGTGTATGAATTTTTACCTTGCATTGATCAGAGGTTTTCTCAAAGCCTTTCTCAGACAGTTCTGTTGATAAACTTTTATAAATGTTGCCATTATTTACAGTTGGGTCCTCTAACTGATGCTCAATACTATTTTCAAGCCAAATACTTATCAAAGCCCTAGTTGCTTCATCATCCCATGCGATTCCGCGACTTTTGCGACCGACTTTACCTCTAGACATGTTGCTGACTATTCAGACTACTAATGATGTATTTGTTTTACCCAAAACACCACTCAACATCATATATTTAGCGATGATGCAACTGATAATGAGATATATACACATATGCAAATATTGCTGAGCGTTTATATGACACAATCTGCACAAATACTTACCCTAAATACTTTTGCATATATGCAAATATACTTTTGCATCTGGTCAGGACTAGGTGCAAATTTGCACCTGCAGTATTTTTACACATGTATGCAAATGCGTTTACATGACGAAATTTGCATACATGAGTAATTTTGCATATATGCAAAAGATTTGCACGTGTGCAAATTTCGTCATGTAAACGGGGCTTAAGAAACGCATCATACTGTGAGATACGCTCGTAACTCTTGAGAGCTGCTTCTTCATCAGGATAATTATGCAACAGTCAATCTGTTTATTTGAATCAGTGTTATTATTCCAAAAAAATTCTTGAACACATACTGTATAACTATTATAAGATGGTGCCTTCGCGTAATCAAAGAGACTAATGTCGAGGAGAAAATCGCCAAGACCTTTTGGAAAATGAGAGCGAAAGTCGCTTAACTGTATGGATGCCAGCAAGTGTCCCGTCTTGCCTCGTAGTGCACTACCGAATTACAACCGAGTTGGGTTTGCGAAGCGTGAAACTAAAGAAAATAAGTAACCCAACTTAATTTTCGTCAAATCTTCTTTGGGTCGATTTGTTGCTTGGGTTATAAACTGCTTAACAAAAAATGTAATACTATACAGTATACTTGCCCGCCTTCTTATTTTCTTTTGATTCTACTTCTTTGGATGAACTGTTTAATTAATAATAAAATACTAATTAGCATTATGTGATTATGAATAAAACTAAAACAATTTTTATAAAACAATGGCGGTCTAAAGTTTTAATTTCTTATAGCTCCATCGGGCATCACCAAGAGACAGAGTACCCTAGATGCAAGTTAATATTATATAGACTTACACAACAGTGACGAAACACTGGCTAACTCTGCACAGACTAGGCCATGAGTATGAGAGTCTAAGACATTGACATGATGATGAGTATGATGAGTCAACTCCTGTCACTGTCAGTGTCAAGACCAATGAAATTTTATAGTTTATTGACCTAGTCCGCATCACAGACTCAGTGCTGTTTACATCAAGCTGATTATGGCTACGAAACCGTGTTTACCTGTTTACAATCAAAATAGAAGTAATCAGCACAAAAAAGGCTTTCATCTTGTTTCTCTCATCTTTACAACTTCAAGAAAGAAAGTAAATAAAGCAGGTACTTCCGTTTGATACGTCATACTTGGTTACAAAAATACGACGTTTGATATGACGTCATGTTTGTGTGACGTCATCTTGAAAGGGATTATTTTGTAATTTTGCACTTTGAGCATTCAAGGTAGGCTTGCGACACGTTTTCCAAGACAAAAAGAAATATTAGACACAACGAAGATGTCCGAGATATCTGATCCGATTTATAATATATACTGAACACTGCCTTCGTATGAGAAGGGGGGGGGCGCTATTCTCACTTTAAAACCTAGAATAGAAGCAATAGGCCTAGGTCTAGGCCTACTTTTGACTTTGTAAACAGTAAACAATAGTCGGAATATGTCTATGCTTTCTAGGTCTTAAAGTTACCAACACTGTGAACTGACTTATGTATATTATTAACTTCCAATTAAAAAAAAACAATTCAATAGTAGGCTTACTTTACTTTGATACAGGACCCTCCGGGCATTTGGACTAGGATTAGTATTCCCATAAATCCACAGTTATAAAGCGGCCATTGTGAACTCCAGAAATTCCCCAACTGGTCTACAATTAGCATCTCCCTATTTTTTTTTAACACCCCAAATCATGTTGAACTGGATTCAAACGGAAGGGGTTCGGTTACCCTGACGGTGACAGGAGCCCCGCGCGGAACGAGGGCGGACCGTAGCTCGACGACGCGAAAGCCCGGGCAGTTGACTTCCCCCCAAAAAGTGGACTGACGCAATCCGATTCTAATTCTATTCAACCCATTACCCACGTTCAGATATATCACCGGTTTTCGTCTACTTTACGACCAAGTAACATTATTGTAGCCTATTGTTCTGTTTTTTTTTTTTTTTATTATTAATTTTTATCACCCAATAACACATTTTACAGTGTGATAAATTTCATAATCTACTTTGATATCCCCTTAGGAGATATGTCGCTTTACATGAATTTGATTGATCAATTATAGAGGAAGCGGTACACTTTCCTATATTTTGAGCCAATTATAATTATATTTTTACTGAATGTTTAGTAATAATTGAGATCATAGGCAAATGTGTCAGGTGACCTTTAAACATTTTATTAATCTTTGCCTTAATTCTTTCTTTCCACACTGGCCTTCCGTACTCTATCAAACATCCCATGTCGATAT